ATTCTGCATGTGCCTAAAACTGACACCATGTGGATGATGCCAAGGTGTGCTGCTAGCCGGAGCAGTAGCCAGGCTTTCTTCTCTCTTGGCTATAGGAGTTGACCACTTGAATCACTGAGAACTCTGAACCTGACTCTGAGGAACAAATTCTCTATGCCACTGGAATTGTGGAATCTGGTGCAGCCACCACTGCCATTCCAGAACATGGCACTCTGCAGCTTTCTTCTCAAAGTAAAGTCTTTGACTTTGGCAGTTTGACACTGCAAAGGTTGGAGACTTGCACCTTCTTGTGATGTCCTCAGGCCATCTTTTTTATATTCTCCTGTCCCCTCTCTGCAGTGGAGATTACTTCAGCTATATCTTTGTTGTCCACAGCTTTATTGGAGTTTTCTTTCTGGCCAGACTCACAGTGTTTTAAATTGTCCTGCTGGGCTCTTTGCTCTTGATTCTTAACATAAATCTGGCTAAAAGACCCAACAATAGCCATGCCACTACCTCAATGTTTGACTGCCTTCAGATTTGTTCTGCCATATTAATCAGTTCACTGCCCTTAATCTCACCTTTAGACAAAGTCTCTGGACACGAGCAAAATGCAGACAAACTTTCTGCCAAGCTATAACACACATCATCTGGAGTCCAGCAACCAATGCAGTCCTTCTTTCCAGCAGAAACCTCCTGAACCCGGTCTTTACTGGCAGGATTTCTATCAGCCGTCTGGTCCTCTGAGCTCTGACCAGAATCTCCCATACAGAACAGCCAAAGGCATTCTAGTGCCTCTCTTTCAGGCTACATCTCTGAACCTTTCCAAATAGTTTTCACAAACCATTTCCAAAGGCTCTCAAACCATATGGTCACGTATAGTCACAGCAGTGACCCCTACTTCTCTGGTACCAAATTCTGTCTTGGTTACTTTTCTCTCATTATTGAGACAAAATACCTAACACCCAAAATTAAGGAAGGAAAGATTTATTTAGCTCACAATTTGTGGAGGTTTGAGTCCATAATCAGCTGGCTGTAAGGCGGCAGGGTGGCAGAGCACAAGGACAACACTTCAAGGTGGTAAAAGACAGCAAAAGCAGCAAGAGCAAGAGGAGGGGCAAACCTCTTTTCCTCCCTTGTAATGTAAGCAGGCTACCCCCACCCAGGGGGCATGTGGCACTCATAATTACCATGCCCTCCTCTTGACAGGCACAGGATGTATACAAAGTAAGGACCCTGGCCCCCTGTTAAGTCACTTAATTAACCTTCTAAGCTTCTCAAATTGACACAATAAACAACATCCCAGAGTGGTAAGGGCATGTCCTTTTCACCCCAGGATGTAAAATTGCTGAGTCACTTAGCCAAGCTTCTAGACTCCTCAAGTTGACACAATGGGTCAACCATAACAGAGGGGAAAGGAGCTGGAATTTTAGCCCTCCTGCCCCTTCTCTGCTGAGAAAGCTGTGTAAATAAAGAGTGGAAGAAGTGAGGGAAGGGGCCACACAGACAGACAACCCCAGAGGATGCAGTGTGAAGGACCCAAGTGGGTGTGCTGGGAATGACAGGGAGGACGGGCAGCTGGAGTGGTGGCCACAGGGCAGACCAGCAGAGCGGAGGCATTGAGGTCAGGAAGTGAGGTGCAGTGGGCTTAGAGTGTAGGTTGTAGGTTGGATTCAGGTTGTAATAAAGACCTTGGCTTCACTATTGATGTGTCAGTTATGGAGGGCTGAAGTAGAGGAAGAACATGATTTGACTCCTGATTGCCTGCTCTGGCTGCTTTGGAGAATAGACTAAGGCAGGGATCAAGTGGGAAACCAGTGCTGTGATCCAGAAAATGGTCATGGCATGCACCCCGGTAGTGGCCGCAACCATGGTGAGGAATAATTGGACTCTGGATGCTTCTTGACTGCAGATCCAAGAGAATCTGCTCATGTGGTGGATGTATGGCATGGAAGAAAGAAAAGGGTTGACAATGACAACAAAGTTTTTGACCTGAACAGTAGAAAATAGGGCTGTCATTCACCAGACAGGGAAGACTGTAGGCATCAGAGTACCTCAGAAAGGCTCATTTTACACATGTGAAGTTGGAAATGTATATAAGAAACCCAAGTGGAGATCTTGTAGGTGTAGAGTTTAGGGCAGAGGTTCTGGCTGCAAATAGAAATGTGTGAGTCATCAGTACAGTAGGTGGTATTTAAAGGCATGAGGCTTGATGAGGTCACCCCCAGAGAGAGTGCAGATAGGAACAGTATATCCAAGGACAGAGTTCTGGGGCACTTTAGCCACTGAACACTTTTACTGCAGAAGGTGTGTTAGTTTCTCTCAGAACTCTAGATACCATGAAGTTTGAAATACACTAAACTAAAAGAACATACCTTTTACAGCTGTTCAGAGCATATAGGAGTTAGTTTATGTTCTTCAGCCATAAAGATGCACTCCTGACTTGCCGATGTGGTTACAGTAGTCTCAGTAAAGGTAGTACTAGTAAGACACTGGGTGGAAGTATATAACTGACTGAGATATTCTGCGTATTCAGCATAAGCTGCTTTAACCCTGAGAAACTTGGGGAAAAGATTTAAGGTGTGACTGAGAATTGAGCCCTTCTGAAGTTCCCAAAGAAGTGGGTGGAGACAGCAGGATATCTTAAACTGAGTTCTAAAGGATGTTTAGAAAAGGTGGAAATGGAAGAAGATAGGATAGTGAGGATGAGAATGAAGTAAGTGAAACAAGAGGATTATAGTCAGATCACTTGCCTGCCTGGAGCAAGGAGCCTGCTGGAGAGAAGGGAAAGCAGAAGAGGGAGTAAAGTCAGATGTTACAGTTTAGTGCTCTGCACTGGGAGAGGAGGACTCTCTCTGGAGAGAGTTTGAGGAATGTTATTTTGCATGTGTCTGGGCCACCTGGCCATACCCCACATCTTCCTTTGTGTAACTCATTAGGTGATCACAAAGTTTTGTCAACTTACAATTTAGACCCTTCCTCTAGATACTATTTTTATATCTGAGAAATAAAACTGAAGTTTTAAAATATTAGCATTTATCAGAGGATTAATGGTAAAAGTGTTGGAAAATTCCATACTACTTAGTGGTCATGCCTTTATTTACTGACTTCCACTAAATTCGTAGTCTTAACTTTCTTGCTCTTCATCAGATAGTTTTCTTTTTATTTGAAGTACAAGGCTAAATAAAAGAGTCCTACAAACATGCTCCTGAGGGTAATGGAGAGCTAGGGGTCTCTTCAGTGCAAGCTGAAAGTGAAATGTTGGTATAACCTTCTTATTAATGGAGGAATCCGGTCATGCATCCACTCCCCATCTTAGCAATGATCTATGCAGAAAATAGTAAGCTAACCTGTACTTTTGACTTGATGGGTGGGACATTTATATTGGGTGGTAAGTATATACCAGAAATCTGTGTTTTAATATGGTCTTGCAAGATTCTTTATCCTTCCATGATTACTGAAATATTTAGCTTGAGTTGCGTGAAAGAATAAGGCCTACGGGATAAGCCCTCAAAGTGGCTGTGTTATGCAGTCTTCACTCCAACAAAATTGCCTAACACCCACCCGTCTCAGCCCCGTACTTCCTGCTCCTCACGGGCAGCTTGCTTGAATGTCCCTCAAGCGTCCACATCCTCAACCGCTCCCATCACCCCACCTTTGAACCCAGAGAGCCCACAGCTTCCCACCTGAAGCTGATCCTTCCTCGGTGCTGTGGGCATCATCTCTTCCCAGTAGCTCAGGATTGGCTGAGAGGCTTTAGCCATTGTTGCTTATTTCTTGGGGAATGTTAATCTTTCTACGGGGTCATCCCCTTCTCCAAAGTGTTGTAGCTTAAATCCTCGATTTTGTGCCGTTATCCACTGCCCTCCCATCTCTGCCCTCTGCTTGGTTGCAGTGTTTCTCACCCTGTGTTCACTTCCCCACTTCTTTGTTTACTGTGCACCCTGGTGTCCTCTGTGCCAGCCCGGTCCAGATCCCTAGGCACTGCCGCCTTGCCAGTGTTGCCGTCTCTTCCTACTTCTCATCTTATTTGAACCTGCAGCAGCCTTGGATTAGTTGTCACACTTTCCCTTTCAAACCCTTTTGGCCTGACAGTTGTGAAGTCCTGGTTTTCCTCTTCGGTCTGTGCTGCTCTTTCCAGTGTCCTCTGCTGATGTGGTCTCCTGCTCCTGTGAGAGGCAGAGTGGCGCGGGATACAGATCTCACCTCTTTTCTCTGCACGTGTGCTGAGGACTGTGTCCCTGTCCCATAGCCTTGAGGACTGGGTACGTGGTATTGTCTCCTGAACTGTCTTGCTGTGCCACCTTCCACTGCTTTTGCTAGGCATCTCCCACCTCAGACTTCTGAGTCCTTAATCAGTCTTGAAGGCACTGTGGCCTGGCTCCCCCTCCCCCTGCAGCTTCATTGGCCGTTTCCTCTCTTTTGGTCTTTCAGCTTCTGCCTCAACTGACTTCTTGTTGCTCCTCACTCCTCTGTGTGCGGCTCCATCCTGTCCAGAAGCTCCGCACTTACTGTTCTCTGCTAAGGTGCTCTCCACAGCTCCCCACGTGGCTAGCACCCTTTCTGAGCGTTTACTCAGAGGCCTCCTTGACTACCATGTGTGAAGATGGGTGCCCTGTGACCTGCTGTGTTTCTCCTCTTGTTACCTATCACTCCTTAAATCCTGTTTTATTCCCCTGCTGTGAAATCATGGGCTCAGGCAAGGCAAGGAACTAACCTGTATGTCTTGTATTTCTCCAGCTTACATCATTGCTGGGCTCTGAGTAGCCACTTGATAAGCTTTTGCTGAATGAGTCAGTAAATCAGTGCATGGAATTATATTATGCATTATATATAAACTATATTAGGACATCCTCAATTTTCTAATCCAAGGCAAAGCTAGATGCTTACTTTGATACTCTGTTTAAATGTGGCATAAACGTGGCCACCTGCGGAGAGCCTTCTATGATTGATACACATGATTTCTCTTCTTGTTCCCCTCTCTGGAAATCAATTGTGTTTTCTTGGCTTTTCCCATACAGTTGAAGAATAAGTTCATGAAAAAGCTACCACGTGACGCAGAAGCTTCTAACGTTCTCGTTGGGGAAGTCGACTTCCTGGATGCCCCTTTCATCGCCTTTGTTCGGCTGCAGCAGGCTGTCATGCTGGGGGCCCTGACTGAGGTCCCTGTGCCGACCAGGTAAGCTGCTCCCCACTGCTGCGGCCTGCGGCGTGTGCGTGGGAGAAGATCTTCCTCTCAGGTGGGGCCTCAACAGAGAGAGGGGACATCCAGGATGCTGCAGAGAGTTGATGGAAGTAATGCAGAGCCTGACGGTAATTTTTGGGGGAGTGTACTAGTTTCCTGTGACTTTGTTTAGTATTTACAAATACCTTTTAACATACAAACTGTAGTATCCAGATTTAACCCATAAAGGAACTGCATCCCGGAGCTGAAGTAAGTCTGCCCGTAGGAAATGGTATGGTGGTGACAATTGCTTTTATTTATGTGCTCTGTGTCTCATCAGAAAATGAGTAGTAGGTTCGTGCATACGTTGCCTGTGCACCCGTATCTGTAAAAATCTGTAAGCTTCACATCCATCCTCACACACCTTGTAGTTACAAGGATCTTGCCACACCCATGTTAGCTACAAGGAAAGGTGTCCCAGAGCTGCAGCCCAGTCCCTGCGGTGTGGCACCTCGCGGAGCCTGGAGTCCTCCTCCTCTTCACTCTGTTGAAGCTGAGCTCCCTGTGTTCAGCTTGACTTAAGGCTGCAGTTATTTTGAAACAAGTTAATGCTTCACTTAAACTTGTGCTGAGGTAGAGTTTAAAGAGAAACTCCTGTCTTCGGGCTGACATTAGGAAATTACCATATGAAAGAGCTTTGGGGGTGGGTGTGCTTTAGGTCCCAGGGCAAGGAAAGGTGATGCTGTCTCTCTCATCCTTTAGTTTTCCTTCTGTGAACAGGAAGGTCAGTGAATCCTCCTCAGGGAGCTCAGATATTCAGAGCATGATTAACCAACAGTGGCAGCAGGCTTAAGCTTTGTTTTGAGCCAAGGTAGAAGGAAAATCAGGAGGGAGAAAATTTCCTTTGCGCCTCTCAATTCAGGCCATTGTTAATGACCATACAGGCACTTTTTAGCCATTGTTTAATTTCTTAGACACTTATAAATGGGAATAATGTATAGGGCAATCTTTGGACAAATAGCAGTGGAAAGGAAATGATCACAGCTTATTCAATTAATGGGATTATCGTGATTTGTGTTTTCTGTAACCTAGCTTTTCACTTGAAAACATTCCAGCGGACCCTTGCAGTTCTATCTGAGCAATCACCTGGCAAACTGCTGACTCAGGCAGGGCTAGGGCTGGAGGCCAGCTCAGGGCCCAGCGGCTTTATTTATGTCTCTTTGGACTAACTTTGCTGGGGCTTGAAAGAAAAAAACATGCCAAGGAGTGTTAAAGAAAATTGCCCTTGCCTTTTCATTTTTATGACCATTTCTGTTTAGAAACTGCAAATAAAAAAGTATTTTAAAAGGCTTTTTTGTCTAACAAGAATACATATGCATTGAGTATCAAATCTTGGACATTTTTGTGTCCCTCTTGTCATCTGTTCCTGCTTGGCTCATTCCTTTTCCTTCAGTCCTACAGCATGGTCTTAATTTAGGGATGAAATACAGCATCATTTGAATTAACAAAAAGAGCCGAGCAATTCAAGGGAGTGTAATTCAATAATATCAGAAAACTATTTCAAAGCAATAATCTGAATAATATATCCTTGCATGTTAACATTTTCCCAGGAAATAGTCTTATCCATTTCTGTCCTGCAAACCAGCGAAGGCTGTAATCACTGAATTGGGAGTCACATTAGTTATTTTAGTCGTAATTCAATTTACCCTGGCTGCATCCTGTGAGATCTAATAAAGGAAATCCCGCAAGGAGTGGGGTAGTCACTGCCAAGGACTGGGTCTGCCTTCCAGGATGGGTTTTATTTTATTTTTTTTATTTTTTGGTTTTTCTCCGGTACCAGGAACCAAACTCACGACCTTGCGCTTGCCAGGCAGGCGCTTTTGCTGCTGAGCTAAATCCCCAGCCCCCAGGATGGGTTTTAATGTTTGTTCTACTCTGTTGCACTGCATGCAGACCACCTGACAGCCTGATCTTCTCTGATTGTCTTTCCTTTTAAAAGTGGAGGAAAGATACTCTATTATTCTTATTATGACAGTGTTCCTAATAAACAGCGTGACTACCAGGCACCTGTTGAGAAGCATGATTCTAGAAATCCCATGTGCAGCTTCACGCCTTTCACCGTTTACTGTTGCTGATCCATTTGTGAGCCTGTAAGGCTGTCAGCTCTGAGCGGGTAGATGTCAGTGCTGGTCTAGATAAGGCCTTCATGCCATTCTTTTGAAAGCAAACAAACTATGGCCTATGATGTTTGAGAACTTGGTAGGCTACCATTCACTCGTATTTATGAGCTAAATGTGGGATAAATATTGCTGCTATCACTTTATAGCTGAAAGATAGAGGCAAAGGGAAGATGGACTATCGGTGCTGGAAATAAAAGCTGCAGATTTCTGACTCCAGATTTTAAGGAGAGCCTAGGGAGATACTCAGAATGGATGAGAAGAAAATGTTTTAAGGCTCTCCCATGAAGAATATTAAATATCCTAGATCACTATATAATTTTTTGGTCTTGAGTTGTATATCTAAGGCAAATGGTTATTTACTACTTCAAAATAACAAGATATTTACCCTTTTAGCATACGATAAGTTAATATGTATTGTGTTACAAATAATTATTTGCCTAAGAAAAATAGTTGGTGCTTTTTTTAAGAACCATTTAAAACCCACCATTAATAAGATGAGAATAGAGGTCCTACTAGTTCAGTTCTGTCTTGCCCACTAGTCTAATTGCTAGCTGGTGTAAGCCAAATGTAGTGTGGTTGGTTGTGGTGATTTGTGGTCCTCATGAATACACTGTGGAAGCTGCAGTTTAGCCACATTTTCCAAAGCTGCTAAATATGAATAAATGGGTTATTTGATTCACTGTTGTTTTGAGAGAAGGGAGATTAGTGCATGCTGAGTTTATGCTAGAAATAGCTGTGATGTACCAGGAAAGGGGGGTACACATCCTCTCTGAAAAGATGGAGTGGTTTAGGAAGACTGGCTCCATTTCGGATATTATGCTGTTTCTGCCTGTAATTATTTTGTGAATGTGAGCAGCGGCCATTGGTTCCAGAAGCGCATCATCTGGTACTTTTTGTTATGGAGAATGCTAGAGGCATCCTTTCCAGGCATAATTAGTCATTTGAGAAAGCTCACAAAAGTAGGAAAGGGCCTCATGAACATGCTTGAAACAACCAGGCACTGTTAAAAATTCAAAGTCTGGCTTATTTCATTATGAGAGAATAAAAGGAACTCAGTACATAAATTATTTTTTTTCTGAGTTGTCAACATGGTCTCTGCCCTTCCAGCTACACAAATGTGATGTTTACTCTAATTTGTTAATAAAGAAAAAAGCTTCTGGTTAAAAATAACATCTGTCCCTTGACAAAAACCAGCTTTGGTTATGAAAGGAGTTTTCAGTACATGGTAAAAGCTGCCTTTGCCAGGCTGTGCTTTGATCACGGAGTTGTAACTGCTTTGCTTCCTCAAGGGGAGAAAGGTGAGACCCCGTCGGAGGCAGAGGTGGCTCTGTGTGCCCAGCGTTCTCTGATGTTGCACCCTGTTTCCTTAGTGCTTTGTAGAGTAGGGGCATCCATAGGGTCTCTTCTGCAGATGAGGTTCCCAGCTTGAGAGATGTTTCCTACCACTTGTAGATGATCCGATTCCCTGTATTTGTTGTTGTGAGAGGGTGGTTTTGCTGAGTGTTCCCTGACTCAAAAAATGTGAAAGGTTTAACAACATGTCACCATGTTGTTTCTATTTGGCATTTGGTGATTTTTCATTAAGGAAGGAATAGCTTTTTAAAAACTTCCCAGGAAGAGGATTAGTAACTTTATGACTAGGTTACTGAGCCTTTAATTTTCAGGTTGGGTTTATCTGCCTAGTATATGTCATGGACACCATTGGTCTATCGCTTCCAGTCATCGTTTGCTATTATTTAGTGGCGACCAACATGTTATATGGAAGATGAGTGCCCTCACCTTGCAGGATTTAACTCAAGGCTCAGACTCTGTCATTCTGGGAAAATCATCCATCTTCTGCCCATGTTTAGGTACTGTTAGTGACTGAGAGTTTTTTTAACTAACAAGTCAGTCTTTCAATGTTGAGCCATATAATCAACCTGGTAATTAATGCGTGTTGACTGATAGTTTGCATAATGTGGACTCGTAAGCTGGAATCATGATAAGGGTGTTAGTGAGAGGTAGGAAGAGCTAAGGGTGGTTTGGGAATAGTTTTGGATATCGTACATTACTGAGATGTTAATCCTTCGATGCACTGAAGTAATACAAAATGAGAAACAAAAGAAATCCATTATTTAAAGGCACAATAAGGATCCAGGTGTCACATAGTTTTTCTGTTGGCCCCTCGTGTACACGCTTTGCTTAGAATAGTGTCCTTGTTGTTTTCTTGGCAGCTGTCCATTTGCAGACAGTAAAATAGAACCAGGAAATATAGTCATCCATGAGTATTTTTAATGGGATTTATAGTTTGCTTTAGTGACTGCATCTTAAATGTGGTTGAGTGCACTCAAACCAGAGATCAGTCTCTTTAGAAAAATCCACTTCACTATTGTAAAGTAGCACTTTATACTGCTGTGTGCAGTGATACATGATTGGATACCAAGTGGTCAGTGTCCAAGGAAGAACAGTTCTAGTATGAACTGAGCGTTAGTGTTAGGAGAACTAAGATGCAGTTCTGACACTGACGTCTTCATTCTCAGATGGGCGTTCACACTCACCCTTTTGCCGGTTCCCTCGCGTGCTGTGCTGACTCTCGACAGCACGTGTGTGCCGTTCCACTCCACAACTGGCTTCCACAGAAACAAATGATGAATGGTTTTATGGTTATTTTCAAGTAAAATCTGAGTATGCCAACTTTCAGATCCTTTTTTGCTCTCTTAATTTTGGGTTACTTTTCCTAGCTTCTTTGAATTTATAAGAAAAAAGCGATTATACTTTCAATATACAGTATTTTGAAATAGACCCTAACATTTTATAGAATACTAGTTGTAAGTCATTTTTAATTTAATGCAAGATTTAGAAGTAAGTAATAATAAAATCTGGCGAAGTAAAGTGCTAAGCCATCACTGGTATCATAACCTTGCCGAGTGACCCGTGGAAGTTACTTTGGGAAGGTTTTTCTCTGTTGAATCACAGACCTGGTATATTGGTTGGGCAGGTGATACTAGGCAGAATTTTGTGGTCAAAAGAACAGGATGTAAGAAAGCCTGACTGTCTTTAGTTCTTCATTTACTCTCCTTTTGGTTTTGGTTTTGGTGCGAGGCAGTGAACCCAGGCCCTCCTGACCCCCAGCACCTGTCACTTATTAAGCTCATCCGTCAGCCTGTTTCCACACCATTAAACAGCAGTAGTAGAACAGTCCTCTTTGCAGAGGCGTGTGTGGAGATTGAAATAAGGTGATGAACATGAAATGTTCAGCGGGCTTTAAAAAGCAGGCCTATAATATTATTTGTATTGTTCTCCTCATTTCGCTGTTAAGTAAGATGTGATCAGTATCCAGGCGGGGGTTTATCCAGATCACCCGCTGTTGAGTTTTTTCATACTTGTTTATTTACCAGGTTTCCTCCTCCCCAGGGGGCACTACTTCTCATCTTTGCCCAGGGAGAGGGTTCTTCCAACATGAGAAGCGGGACCGAGCTCAGGGCTGCATGTTTCAGGATCTGTGTACTACAGAACGGTGCTCTGTGCATTATTAAGAAAACAAGTTTAGAAAGGAAAATGAGGACATCCACAAAAATATCATAACCATCTGTGAATGGTGTTTTATTGGGGATTTCTCTCCTCTTTCTCTTTCCTTGCTTTGGCTGCCAGCATGTAGCTTACTTGTAGAAGATTGGTATTTGCTGATTCCCAATCACTTGTGAATAGAAGTAATTTCTCACAAGTATGGAGAGGACCATTTTCACTGCCCATGTTGTCACAGGAAAATCAGCGAAATCCAGAGAAGTACTAAGTGTTGCTAGTTATTGTGCGTAACAGGTTTGCTCCAGAGATTACAAATGTCAGCAGAAATGAGAAAGAAGAAAGTTTAAAACAGAAAAATGGGACAGCTCATACAGTACATAAAGCTAAACTTTCCTGCTTACGAAGAGGCTTCTCAAATTCCATGTCAAGTTCTCCTTTGCCTCCAAATAAACTGAACAATGATTTGTGTTTTGCATCTGTGTGAAAGAGTATCTTTCAGAGCACCAAGAACATTACCTTTGTTTTAAAGATGACTTCTCGACCTGGAAGTAAAAATGTCCAGTGCTATGTATGTTATACTTGATGAAGTAGGTTGTTACAGTGTCTGCTTCTTTCTTTTTCCATTAGGTTTTTGTTCATTCTCTTGGGTCCTAAGGGAAAAGCCAAGTCCTACCATGAGATTGGCAGAGCCATCGCGACCTTGATGTCTGACGAGGTAGGGACGGGAAGCTGGGGAATCTGTCACTGTCCTCCGCCTGCTGAGGGTCAGTGTGTCCACAAACACACCAGCACTGTTCATTCCTTACAACATGCCATCAGCAGGCCTTTGTATGGTGGGAGGTACAATCATTGGTGGAAACGTGCTGATGCAGCCTATCAAATGGATTTTTCAAAAAGTAATGCATGAATTTTGTCTTCAGTAGATTTTTAATTCAGGGTTGGCAGAAAACGAATAAACGTATTTTCCTTTTCCTTTTTTATTTGAGGTACTGAGCATTGAAATCAGGGCAAATGTCCTATCATTGAGATATCCCCCATCTTTCTCTCCTTTTTCTAAACATTTTTAATTCTTTTAAAAACTTAAAATATTTTTAGTTGACATAACCTGTTTGCAGGTTACAGTCTGATATTCCAGTACCTGCATACAATTTGTGGTGGTCTGAGGCATGGTAGGCTAAGTATGATGGAGATTAATTGTATGTTTCAAATAGCTAGGAAAGAGGAATTTGAATGTTCATAGCACACACATATGTCTGAGGAGATGTGCATTTGTCTTGATCAGATCATCACATATTTTCAGTTCTTGAACCTGGTATATCTTAAATATTCTTTAAAAAGTTAAAGGTCATTGTATTAACTTTATTTCTTAAAATGTTTAATATATTAATTCTTAGAACTGAAATGTCTGTTTAGTATATTCTTTTGGAAATCACGTTTTATATAATAATGCATAAATAAATGGGTAGTGTATTTTTCCTAGGTATTAGAGAGTATGTGTTTTTATAATTTTCTTGCTTTGTGGGAAGGTGTGATATATATCTAAACTGCTTCAGCAACAGTTGTTGTAGAGTGTCTGGTGCTTTGGAATTATGAGCTCTATCACTCTTGTGACAGCAAGGATGTTGTATATGCATTTGAAGTTTAATAAAACTCTGAACTATTTTCATGGTAGGAGAAATACTACTAGGATATAGGATCATTAATTTCTGCTTCTGTGTCTTTCTAACTTTCTATGTTCCCAAATGTTTTGCTTTTATGCCATTGCTTGATTTGTTGGTTTTCCCACATTAGGTAGAGAACCGACCCTTTTCTGGGTAAGAGCTTTGTGCGGTGATAATGCAGGTGGTGCTTTTTTCTGGGTTTGAGAGCTTTGTAGTATAGTTATGTTGTTATTTTTCCCTTCAGAAACACTTTTTCCCCTGGGTGTAGTAAATTCATTTATTTATTTTTTGCATGTTTATAGTTTCCTTCTTTTTAAAAGTCTTCCTCTAAAGACGTGTTAACGAGGAATGCTTTAGGCTGCAACTTATAAGTTTATAGTAGCTTAAACAGCCTGGGGTTTAGTGTTCTCATATAACAGAAAGTCAGGAGGTAGATAGTGGCTGAGGTTCATTTAACTTAACTGCTTAGAGATCAGCTGAGAGTTAAGGCTCTTCTTAAGATGGTCTGGCATTTCATCCCATCAGTATTGTGAAATGTGTACAATCAGGTCATCATTTCATCTCCATTCAATGTAGGAAAAAAGGATGGGGTAATGTGAGTACAGCCTCTTTTTTTTTTTTTTTTTTTTTTTTTTTTGAAACCAGGTATTCTAAGGTTTTCCCGAACAGCCTTTCTCTTCTATTGCATTGGCTGTAACTGTCAGTCTTTATCTACAGGGCTGGCTGGGAAAGTGAGTGTGTCACTCCCCAGTCTCTGCAGTGGATAGCAGAGAAAATGAATGTGAGCTGGCAGTGTCTGCCCACAGGATGGACTGTCACCTTTATTGCCTGTGCCAGCCCCATAGTCACCAAACCATTAAATTGTTATTTGATTGATAGTTTTTAAAAATGCCTTTCTAGAAGAGATTTTGTAGAAACCTGCAAGTAGTAGGTAAGGTGTTAAACAGGGGGCATCTGTTCTGGAAGCTAAATAGTTTGACTTATGAAGTAATTTGGCTTATGTATGAAGAACTTTCAGATGATCAGCTTGGTTAGAAGAATGAATGGTTGACAAAAGGAAATTCCTTCTGTGGAGTTTGCTGCCTTGGCTAGGTTAGCTTTTACCTTACTAAAGTTAGAGAAATGATCATATATGTAGATTCTTTTGCTTTGTGTATTGCTGTTATAACTCAGATTTCTCTCTCTCGTTTTTTAGTAGTGCTTGTTATTTATGTGTTTGAGAACCACAGCATTTGAGTCTTAACCTGATCTTAATCCTCAGCTTGAACTTTTCCTTCTTGAATTATCAGCAGTTGTTTGCCCCAGTAGTTTTTATGTCAGGGAATGACTCTTCATTGTATTTCTCCAAACTGTTTTCATCTGCTCTTTAGCAACTCTGTCAGGAGAAGTAACAAGGGAGTGGTATTGAAAGGCACATAATTTTGCAGTATCGATAGGGAACAAACCCCATTTAAAGTAGCTATTTCTCCATCTTCACCTATATTCTTTGAGGTCATTGTAAGAATACATAACATAATGCTTAGAATAGGTAGGTAGCTCGGTGGTGAAACATTGGCTAGCATGCATGAGGCTCTGATCTCCAGGATCCCAAAAAATAAACATTAAAAATAAGTGTTTGGGAACATGCTGAACAATATAGAATATAAGAGTATTCTATGACAATAATAGTGCATTATGGATTGCACTTTTCAGCTTGCTGAGATGTGAGGCAAGCTGACAGTTCCATTGTTGGACCAACACATCTCTTGCTTTTCTGTAGGTTTTCCATGACATTGCTTATAAAGCAAAAGACCGGCATGACCTGATTGCTGGGATTGATGAGTTCCTAGATGAGGTCATTGTCCTTCCACCAGGGGAATGGGACCCAGCCATCAGGATAGAGCCTCCTAAGAGTCTTCCATCGTCTGACAAGAGGTAAAGCTGCTCAGAAGCTGGGAGCTTTAGGTTCCAGGACACCCCTGGGACTGCATTTGTATCTGGGAAGGAACAGCGAGGTCAAACTGCTGCGCTGATATTTTTGGGCCCTGTGAATGTATTGCTTCATGGGAACCATTTGTAGGTCATGGTTTCACATTTCCTTGACACTGTAAAATAAATGTTTAATGTTTTGATTTTCTTCAGTGATTACAAATTAGAGGGCTCAGATCCTGATGTTTGCATGTTATGACACATATTTTTGAGGGTGTTTTGGGGACTCCCTGTACATGTGGAAAAATCACTTTATTCAAAATGAGTCTGCAAAGATGTAAGATGTTGAGAAATTGGATGAGGTAGTTGAGGAGAAACCATTTCCTGGCAATCTCTTATTGTCCAGGTGAAAATTTCCTTCTGGTACCCTTAATTCAGCTTGTCTCTTCATCCAGTTCTTGGTCTTGGCCCAAAGTATGACACGGTAAGAACTGTTAGGGCATCAGGAAGAACTAATAATTTGTCTACCAGAAGGTCTTCAGTGTGCCTTCCTGTTAGCCAGTGCTTGAGTCGACCGGGAAGCAAGTGAATACAGTAAACTGATGTATTGGTCTCTGTTGTGTCACTCAGAAAGAACATGTACTCAGGCGGGGACAGTGTTCAGATGAATGGGGACATGCCCCACGACGGCGGCCACGGAGGAGGAGGCCACGGAGACTGTGAGGAGCTGCAGCGGACTGGACGGTAACTGATGGACCCTTTTGCCATTCCTGAGAAGGTTTTCTTTGGATCTAAATTTCCTTTCACCTTTCTGAGTTTACCTTCCTCATTTTACTCGTTGCTTCGTTCATTTGTCCCGGCAGCAGGTGTCTATAGTGCACCAATTGGCCATAGGCACTGGGGATGGCTGTGAATCAAAAGTGATGATTTTATGAGAAAAAATAAGGCAGAACTAGGGCCTCGCGGTGGGAATGCGGTACTGCGTCTAGGTGGGGTGGGGAGAGGAGGCCGACAGGGCGGTGGAAGGGGCTGAAGGGCACGGGCAGCACATGCAGGCGGGGCAGGGAGGACCCTGGACGCAGAGTGTCTGTGGGCTGGCAGCGGGTGGCGTGGCGGGCAGGGTGACGGAGGGTGTTGGGCGGACCGACGCACTGGTGACGTGTAGCCTGTCCCTCGCGGCCTGCACCTCAGCGCTGTCCGTTTACTCCCCAGTGAGTGAGCTGGGGAAGCGTGGGCGGCTCTCAGTCCGGCTCTGCTCCCCAACCCGCTGCCCGCAGCGGGAGTCCAGGCGGCCCAGGAGCTGCAGTTCTTTCCTTTCCTCATTCTCCGCTCCCAGGTTCTCCGTGTCGCTTCGGGTTAAGTACGGTTTTCAATAGGACACCCGAAGATGCGACTTTTTGAAAAAACAGTGAGATTTTAAAAAAGTGTGTCATTTTAGTCTGCAATTAAGTCTAAAAAGACGAAGTTATTTCTTCTCTAAATGAACCACATGGATTTCTCTCCCATACTAAGAAGAAATTGTTTTCTTCTCTTTACTATTAGAGAATGAAAAACACAAAACCTCTCCCCCCGTTTCTGTTGAGCAGTCGCGGTGTAGTCTGGGGATTGCGTTCTTAGGTGATTTTGTCTCTGCACATACCGTGGTGTGCGCTTAGACAGACTCGGGTGGCATGGGCCAGTGCCTCAATGGACCCCTCGATGCCATCAAAAGTTAAGTTTAAAAACAGGATGTGTGAGGCTGGTGCCATTGTCCCATAGTCCACTGTCTCACAATACATTCTCCCCAAGTAGGAGTACACTCTGAAGTACTGATACAGGAAAGCTTATGTCCACCGTGTCGGAGCGTGGGGCGTTCTGGGCAGAAGCTGTGGCATTCATGGGAAGGCTGAGCTGCGAGGTTTGCTTGGGAGGGAAGTGGCTGCTCCATCAGCCAGCTCGCCTGCTCAGCTGCCCCTCCTCCCATGGCGTACCTGCGTGCCTGCCTCCCTTGGCTCCTGCAGGGCTTTACCCCAAAGTCGCCTTCTAAGGGGCCTGTTCTGGCACCACATCTCAAACTTCAAACATCTCTCCACTTAATTTTGTCCTGACTTTAGTGCTATGTGTTTTACAGATTTGTCTGTTCTCTTTCCTGCGTCCCCCAAAAGCAAGCTCCATGTGTGCAGAGCTCTTGGTCAGTGTGTTCACTGTTGCACCCCAGTACCCAGAATGGTGGTGTGGTGTGCGCCGATCAGAGGCGCTCAGTGAGCACTTACAGGACGGGTGGGTGGACGGGTAGGTCGGGCTGGGAAGGGTCATGTATAGCTCAGATGATCTGCTCACGCATGGAGCCGTGTTCTAGGGAATGAAAAATTTCAGTTTATCTGCATAGTTATCTCTCATCCGAAGACCAGCTAGATGACCGTTGGGGAATATGGCATCTGTTTGGTAATTGACAAAGAGAGATGGAAGAAAATTCATACCTGTGCAGTTTTCTGGTCTCATCTTAAGTGGTTAAATTGTACCTTGTCCTTGTGTAAGTGTTGTAAGTACAAATTATTTGTGGTTTGGTGAATTATCTCTTAGTAGATTTTTTTGGGTAGATTTGATTGTCGTTTATTTTGTATTTGCTCACATGTGTGTTTGCTCTGTCCCTGTCCAGGTTCTGTGGTGGATTAATTAAGGACATAAAGAGGAAAGCACCGTTTTTTGCCAGTGATTTTTATGATGCTTTAAATATTCAAGCTCTTTCAGCGATTCTCTTCATCTATCTGGCAACTGTAACTAACGCCATCACGTTTGGAGGGCTGCTCGGGGATGCCACTGACAACATGCAGGTGGGTCTCGTTTCGGGAGGACGCAAATAGTACAGCCCAGATTGTTGGCCTTACCCCTGCAGCTCTGTTGGAAACAGATGGCCTTTCGGTTACTCAGCGTGATTTTCTTCCTTTCGGTGGAGGCTGCATTTTACTTCGCTTCTGGCTTGGTGCTGTTTCCAGCATGTTAGTAATTACAGAAATAGCTCGATGAAATCTGGCTGGAGTCACAAGTGGAGAAGAGAAGGGGAGGAAATGAGGATTCACAATTCTATTTGGGCAAAGCGTATCAGCTGCTTTACTTTTGTTCAGTGCACAAAGTTTAGATCTTTTGCTGCCCTGAAAGTACAGCACATGTTCTGTGGAGCTTGAAAATGACTCGGAATACAGACGTGATTCCTTACTCTTCACCTTCGTTTTTATATGAGTAAATAGAGTCATCAAATGATACAGTAATTTGCTCCCAGTAGAATTCTTCATAATGAATATAAGCCACAAGTTGTTTCTTCTCTATTTGGACCTGTCTCCTATTAAGCTGTAAAGATTCTGTCACGGCTAATTTGGAACCATTAATTGTAACCACAGTTTGTTGATTACTTTGAAGGTAGTGTTTGCCTTCCTTTTGCATTGGTAATAGCGACAGTTTTAGAGAAAGAAAAGATGTCTTAAATTCTAATAAATCAGAACAATATGTGCAAAACTACATTAAATTAGTCTTTGAAAAATAGACATTGTGCTAGGGACTGCATGCAGAAGAGTGAATGAAGCTGAGACACTAAGGAAAAGAGCTCAGTTTAAGCTTTTCAGATAATCTCCTCCACTTGACTGTTTATTAGTGTTTAATCAATGTGATGTTTGTAAAGGCTCCAGCCAACTTTTTAAAATGGAATTAATTTGAAAAATTACTTTTCTTTCATTTCTCCTTTCTTCTCACTTATGTTCTAGGTTTCTTCCTGAATATAAAAAGATGGGGGCTATCTATACACTCTTGCTGCCCCCAGCATAAAGGGAGAAGTTACTTTAAGCAATTACTGCATTTTAGTTTAAAATGCCTTGTCTGTTAGTTTTGCTGCATAACCTATTATCCTCCAACATAGAGGCTGGAGAGCATCACTTTTTGTCATCTTTCGTGCTTTACCTGGCTTACAGGCTCAGCTAAATGCGTTTTTCTTTGGTTCTTCACACGCTTCGAAGTCAAGAGCCTCAGGGGTTGATGTCACCCAGTGGGGTTTGCTTACCCGCGTGCCGCTGGGTGGGATGCCCGGACAGTTGGCATCTGGCACCCTGCACAAGCTTTCCATTTGTCTGGCGTGGGCTTCCTTGCAGTGTGGGGGCAGTTATGAAGTGCACAGAGACCATCTCCCTGTCTCCCGCCCTGCTCCCTTTTTGCTCATCCATAAGATGGGAATGGATGACTTGTCCTGTGAGCTCAACAGTGGGAGTTTTAGAAGCTCAGAAGCCACGTTGGGCATCTCTTCCTCATCAGGATGACCACATAATGATCACTGTCAAAAATCATTCAAGAAAACAAGCAGTGCACCAAGGCCAGCGTGCCGGAGGTAGTACAGGCAGCCACTTGTTAGGAAAGTAAATGAAATCTGTGATTTTGAGAGAACGGTAGGAACAAAACTGTCTTTGGTCTATTGAAACGTACAGATACCTTCTTGTGGAGATGATTTTTAATATTTTTTCAGGGATATTCTCATTGAGATGAGGATATTGTGACACTTCCATGTGCGTGAGCTTATTCTCTCTTGAGCTGAATTGGTATGCTTGCAGCCTCCTGAGACTGAGCTTTGGAATGCCTCTGAGACAGGGAGAAGTGGGTTGAGATCTGGTTGAAATGTGTTCCGCTCTGTCCTATGGGAGTCCATTCCTGTCTGACCAAGTGCCTAGGGAAAGGCTTTGCTGTGTAACGTGCAGGCAGTGTGCTGCTGCTCGCTCTGATACCTGACCGGGTAATGGCTGGGCCAGTGGGATTAGCTATTTTCTGGTTCTGAAGGTTTCAGAAGAAACATAAATGGTTTGGTGCATCAGGACATTAAGTAGTGCACTAAATAGACATTTTCTGGATATCAATTTTGGGAGTTGATAACTCAAAGTGATGCAAAACTATAATATTTTCCAAACATGACTTATTTTAATGAATAGACTTTGTGACTGCCATTGATAATTTTGTTAAAGCTATGAACATGTTGTTTTGAAGGTTTTTGTGAATGGAAATATTGAAGAACATTCGCTCTTTTCCACTTCAAAAGCCTTCAGAAGTTCCCATTAAGAACTACCTTGGTTATGTCCTCTGCCATGACTGTGATTCTGCTCTTCTAGCAGTCACAGTGGGTGGCAGAAACACTGGAAAAGAAGGATAAAAAAAGAATGATTGTAAACATGTTTAAGGATAAAAACAGAATGACTGCTAACACGTTTTGTAGAACAGAAATTCAACAACTGGTTTTACTAGGTGGGGTAATTTGTTGAGGAGTATCTTATGACCAAAAAGACATGCACTTTACAACATTTTTGGTCCATGGCAGTTGTGGTTTTTTGGACTTTATTTCAGGACAACAGAGCAGTTTGTGCTAAGGCCTAAGTCATTTCACAGGTCTCAGCAAGAGAGACCTTAATTCATTCCTTTGCAAATATTTATGGAGTGTCTTCTATGTTGTAGGCATTGTTTTAAGTGTTGGGGTACACAGATAGGGGGGCAAAGTAGGTAAGAATCCTATTGTGATGGTTCCTGTAGCTTCAGATGAAAGTGATCTTTTCCCAGCCATCCCTCCTCCCAAGATAGCAGTGGGTGTATTCACACCACTAGTGGTGTATTTAGGGGGTGAGGTGCCCTCCTTCATTTAGCTTTCTATACACTAGACCCAAGGCTAAGCAGAAAGCATTGGCAAAGCTTGAAGAGTCTTCAGCTGCATCACATGTCTTCCTAAATGAGGCAGTGGGTTATCTGCACAGCGCAAGCAGCTCAGTGAGTCAACTGAGAAGAGTGCCCTTGCTTTGCAGGCAGACAGCTAAGAGACGGTTCACACGGCCTTATTGTCAGGCTACAAATAGACATGACTGCTGGTGGAAACATGTTGTGCAAACACAGATGAGTCACGGCACGACTGTTGTCTAAGTAAGCTCTTCTGCCAGCTTCTGTTCAGGAGGTCTTGCCTGCTTGAAGGCAGGAATTTATATTTAAGCATTTATTTCAGTCCTTGTGGCTAATGAAATGTACATCATTAGAAGCAGGTGATCCTGGGAACTATATAGAAACTGTGTGCGAGATAAAATAGTTAAGGCTTTGATGGCTGTAAGTATAATTAAACTGTGATGCCACCATACGTGTCCGCATGAATCCCCCAACTTTGGCACGTGCATTTTGCCCATCAGGTAGCTCGGGGAGGATTGCTGGGCTTACTGGGGAGGTATTCATAAATTTCTGGCTAAGCATGAATAATTATAGTTATGTTTGGGCTTGTGGGAGTGATGAACCACTTTGACAAGAGTCAGCCTTTGTTCAACTAAGATAAAACCCCAGCTTGGGTCTACTCCCTCTTCTTAGAGCTGAGCAGTAGAGATCTAGAGCATAGGTCTTCTGAAGTCCGAGAATAGCACACATCCTTATCCTTTCCAGCGAGCAGTACTAACGTGGCTCTCATCTTGCCGTGGCCAGGTAACAAAAGCTTTGCAGCTCCTGGGTCCAGTATCACGACTCTTTTACAGCTAGACTCTAACCTTGTGCAGCAGCTCATGACAGTGTGTTTATACTCTTGGTTGCCAGACAGGGGAACTACTCCATTCATTTAGATGTTTCTAATTAAATTGTTAAATGTCAGTACATGAATATATACCACCAGGATTTATTTTCATTCAAAATACTATTTAAACAGAACCTTGAATCAAACTAAATCAGCACCTGTTTATGGATTGATGAGTCCCTGGGACTGATACTGGCATCAGGAATAACTTTAGATGCTCTGTGGCAGGTCATATTATTTCTAAATTGTGCTCCTTAGCTTTTTAGAGTATAGCAAGGCATTTTAATTTAAATCTGTATTTGATTGTGAATGACTAGACACAGTCTAGAGTGAAGATTGAGTGGAGAAAGTAATTTTGATTTTTTCTAAGAGTAAATATAATCCTATTTTCACAAACCTTTCAGCAAAAGGATGCAGTAAGATTTTAGAATTTTGTGAATTTTGTGATATTTGTGGAGTCCAACAGAACTCATTTTAAGGGAACTTGTCTCATTATAAGGAACATTTATAGCTGGCATCTCCAAATTTGAGGCTTTATTTTAACATACTGCTGTGCTGAGAATTTTAATCAATGTGCTTGAGTTAGAAATGCATCATTTCTTATGTACATATAATATTTCTCAATACCATAAATACGTCTTTACAAAGACTTTACAACTTACAACAGTAAAATTGAAGCAAATCAATAAATATTTTACTGTATTGAGAATGTGCAATAATTTCACTTTACCTAAGTGTTCCACTTAGGCACCAAAATGCATTTCCTTTTTGAAGTGGAAATACAAAGTGACATGTTAATCTGTGCAAGCAGCATAGTCTAGTTTGAGAAAGTTAAGTAGGGATAGTCTGTCGGAATGCTAATGTTTGGTTATTCTGGTCGGCAAAAATAAACAAGCCTATTTAGTAACAAAGAAAGGATTCTGCCTTGCTCAGTTGTCATTAAAGTTTACTGGATGATGCTTCTTTGAGAAAGGAACTTCAAGTCATGTGCTTTCGATGTTCTGAATTAAACTTGCTTGACTGAAGTTAAGTAATTTGTGTTTTGTTTTCTGTTCTTTTTTTTCCATTTGAAAGACCTTTGCCACCCCGCCCCTTTTTGGTGATCAGAAAATGATGGAGATTTGGGCCTTGTTGGAGTCCCAAATGATGCTAAACTGGAACATTTTTTTTTTTTTTTGGCTTTTAGTTATTTTTGAAGACAGCTTTCTTTTTAAAATAAGGTATAATTATACACTGTAGAATATTGAAACAATATAGAAAATTATACAGAAA